ACGAGAGAGAGAGAGAGAGAGAGAGAGAGAGAGAGAGAGAGAGAGAGAGAGAGAGAGAACGAACAAAAGCTTAAATGATAGAAAGTGTGATTGGGCATATTCCTGCAACCATCAGCATGACCATATTTGCACACCTTGCGTTGAATTTGTGACATGAGGATTAGTTTTTATTCTCCCAGACAGGCTTGACTGCTGGAGAGATTTCAAAATAAGCACAGTGATGTAGTTCCATGTTAATCCTTGCAGCAACATTCTTATTTCAGGATGGTTCACGCAGACGCTTCAGTTTAAGCCACTATGGTGCCTCTGTTTCACACCTGTACTGAAAAGTGCAGAACCTGATTCATATTCCTTTGCACTGAGCAAAGGAGGAATGGGGTGGGAATCAGGCCATCCTTGGAAAAAGACACTGCCAAACTATTTCTATCCAAATGTGACGCTCTGTTGTGGAAACCACCCCCTCTCTGATGGATCCCCTGGGAACCTGTTGGATCTTCCAGCACTCACTAAAAACAGCAAACAGTCTTTTGGCACCTAGCAGATTTCTTGTAATGTATGTCCTCCCAAGCACACTAAGTCACACTAAGCTGTGGCTGGTCACTTCTGAATCATCAGATACATTCACACATTGCATCAGATACATTCACACATTTCCACATACAGGATAAAGATGCTAGCAAGCTTGGCCAAGTCTAGCTTTCTACACCAGGATTTAGAGAGTCCACCTCCTGCCAATTCACTCTGGACCAGGCCCCAAACCATTAGGGCCTCAGGGCCTGCTGGGTCAAGGCTATTTTAGGCCTCCCTCAGGCTTTGTGTACATTCCCATATTTCAGTGCTGGAAATATCTGTGATGTTTACATCCATGAATGGGATTCTTCTCTGTCTCATACTTTGCATTATCTAGTAAGAGACAGGAGGAGGAGGGCTCCGGCTGTGGTGGTGAAGCATGACACCAGCACCCTCACACAAGCTGCCAAATCTACACCAAAATGGTGGCCTTTGGGGCTTTGAAAGGAGCCACCTCTGTGTATATGCAAGTGTGTGTGCGTGTGTGTGTATGCATATATGAGAGGGGAGGAGAGAGGGAGAGGTTAACAGCACCCCTTTCATAACATAAACACCACAATGCTGGCCAGGATGGTCATGTGTGCTCTTTTACAGATCATTCTCTATTTGAAAGGCTGTCTAGTCTAAGCCCAATTGACTGGACTTAGTCAAAGCACCTGTTGCCCATGAACATTTAGCCTCTGGACAGCAGGCTGTGGGCACACAGGTCACCTGGCTGCAATGTTTTGCACTGTGGTGCAATGTACTGCAATTCTGTTGAAATCATAATTCTTTCCCCTAAATTCATAGTACATGTAAAGATGATGTAAAACTGTGCCCTCCTTTGTCGTCTCATTTGGGGATGCATTTCCTTTGTTTTTGGCCACTTATCAGTGGCAGCCCATACAATCAAGTCCCTATTAATTTGCTATGCAAACAGAGGACATTTGGGAAATCAACCCAGCTTCAGCCACCCATTTCTGCAGCTTAATCGTACCCTGTTCTAACACAGGGCATTCGGTCTGTACTGGGCTTCTGCTCCTCTAGGCAAATAGGAAGGGAGAGAGACAGAACCCTGGCTGTGGGCCTTGTGGCACCCTTTCTTCTTTTCCCTCCTTGTAGGCAATTCCCAGGGAGCAAAAAGGTCTTTGCAAGGTCTTTCAGTTCTGTGCTACACCAAACTGTTAGTCCAGACTGGTGCTTTGTGTACATTTCCTAAGCATATGGAAAGAAGTATCTTACCATGATAAAGTTGTGCTCACATGACTCCAGTCCTCCGTCAGCTTCACTGGCTTCCCATTGAAGTCCGGGCCCAATTCAAGGAGCTGGTTATCACCTACAAAGCCCTTAATGGCTTGGGACCTGGTTACCTAAAGGAGTGCCTGCGTCCATATGTGCCCTCCCGCCCCTTGAGATCGGCAGCAGAGGCCCTTCTCTGGGAGCCCTCCATGAAAGATATTAGGAGGATGAATACCCGGAGGAGGGCTTTCTCTGCAGTGGTGCCCAACTTATGGAACACGCTCCCCAGAGAGGTCCACCTGGTGCCGTCATTATTGGTTTTTCGGCGCCAGGCCAAGACCTTTTTATTTAAACGTTATTTTAACTGTTGATTTTATTTATTGATTTTAAATCTGCTACCAGGATGTCTCCAGTATTTTATGTATTCTGTTTAGAAATATATTTATTTATGTATTGGAAGCCACCCCGAGGCTTATGCGAATGGGGCAGCATACAAGTTGTCCAAATAAATAAATAAAGTTGTGCATGCCTGTTATCACTTCACAAGCTGACATGCCTGCAAGTTCATGACTTGCCCAGGTCTGACTAAAGGCACAATTCAGATGCTGCAAAATTAACACCATCAAGCTAAGGGGCAGGGATAATGCACAACCACCCCAAGACATTTTGCTGCCTGAGGCAAGCAGCATACATCATCCCATTCCACCACCACCAGTCAAAATACATAGTCCTCACGGCCACCTCACAAATGAAACAAGGCAAAACAAAACCCAACCCACAACCAGACAGAAACCCTCCCCAAGCACTCTCTTGGACAGTCCAAATGCAACCAGAACACCACGAATCATTATTGATGCTCTGCCCTTTCCTAACACCAACAACCTTACACTGCCCGAAGCGAGGGTCGACCCTGGGATGCAAACAGTCTTGGGGACGGGGCAGGCAGTGGGTTGAGGCACTCTTTGTTCATGTCCCATATTTAGGTGACCCCTGCTGACATGCGGACTTCCATGCAAAGTTCCAGCTTCCATCACCGCCACCATCCACACATCAGATCTCTGACCCAGTTTTGCTCAGGGCTGCAAACAACCAGCCCTTAGGTGCTTACCGGCTTGGTCCACCTTCCCAGGGAACTGCCAGCAATGAACCCGGAGCCTGCTGTGGTGCTTGCAATGAATTTGACAGGACCAGTAGTGGGGGAACACGAATCACTTCTTTACAAACAGGCAATAGAAGTTATTATTAAGGTGCTGGGAAACCCTTTTTGGCCTGGGGGCCCAGTTGGCTGCGGTTAAGGAGGTCAGGAGTGGGAAAATGGCAACCCAAAGCTGCTGAGCTCACTGGTCAGCACACAGGCTGCTTGCATGATCAGACACCCGCACACACAGGCAACCAATCAAAATATGCACAGTGGGGAAGTGTTGGTGTTCTCCAGAACCTTTAGACAGGCTGGTTGCTACACAAAGCAAGGGTGGGGTGGAATACCCTATCTGTTGGATGCGTCTTGCTTCATTTCAATGCAAGGACAGTTAAGAATAAGACAGTAAGACAGGATGCATAAAAGGAACTGAAATATGTCATCAGAGAACCAAAATGGAAATGCAGTTTCTAGATGTCACTGGGTTCTTAGCCTAGTTAGCCCAGAGGTACAATGTTTTTGTCTGGTATGCTAAGTGGTTTTGGAGGGCCCTTGGGCAAGGCAACCTCACTGCCCCACCTTGCCACCGCCAATCTGCCCTCTCTGGTTCTTAATGTCAACAGTGAAGAAACTGAGAAATTGTGAAAGATTTTGCATAGCTCAGTTCAGTCATCAATTCAAAAGGAGGCTACAGTCAAGAAATTAGAAAAAGACTGAGACTTGGAAAAACAGCAGTGAAGGAACTAGAAAAGATTATCAAGTGTGAGCAAGTTACACAGGAGATGAAGGCCAAGATTATCCACACTACTGTGGTCCAGATCACTATGTATGGGTAGGAAAGCTGGACAGTGAAGAAAGCTGACGGGAAGATTAGTGCATTCAAAACATGGTGCCGGAGGAGAGCTTTGCAAATATCCTGGGCCAACAGAAAGAGGGACAAGTAGGTTCTAAAACTAATCAAACCAGAACTTTCCTTGGCAACAAAAATGATGAAACTGAGGTTGTTGTACTTCAGGTACATTATCAAAAGGCAAGACTCACCGGAGGATACAACAATGCTAGGAAAAGTCAAAGGCAGGAGAGAAAAACCAGCTATGAGATGGATCAATTTCCTAAAGGAAGCCACAGCCTTGAATTTACAAGCGCCAAGCAGGGATGTCAAGGACAAGCCATATTGGAGGGCATTCATTCATAGGGTTGAATGATAAGTCAGAGATGACTAGATGGCACATAACAACAATAACGGTATTGCTTAAATGTGGCTTTTGGAATTAATATGTACTACGTAACATGCAGGTTACACCTTGAATGTGACAAACAGATCACACATTAAAAGCCTCTTCTGGAAGCACCCCTGTAAAGAGGTTTGTTTCAGCTAGTCAATGGACAACAACTACAGAATAATGGATGTGGAATTGGTTGCAAAAATGTGACAAGATGGTGGTAAATTCAGAAATGCTGCAGCCACAGCACAGAGAGCAGGGTCCACAAATATGGTTGTCAGACATCAGTGACGATGGGAAATTTTATTCTGGTAACTAGCAGGGAAAGTAGAAGGTAGATCGCCAGATGTATTAGACTGCAAATTCCAGAAACCCTTGCCAGCAAGGTCAACAATCAGGAATACTGGGAGTTGAAGTCCAGAACATCTGGAAATTTACTTTCTGTTCTCCCTTGCTTTAGTCTACCCTGCTACAAGAGAAATGCGCTTTTCTTCTTCTTTTTCTTTAAAGTCTCCAGTAACTCAGAGGAGCAGAGTTTCTTTCTGCACTTCACTCAGACTGCAAATCTGTTGTAAGAGAGGCACTTCTGGAAAAGGTATGTATCTCTGCCTCCTTCACATAATTTTATGGGGGTGTCTTCAACTTGTAACCCTCCAGTATTTTCTCACCACTTCATTTTTTTCCTAGTGCCAAAGATCCATTGAGGAATAAAAATGGAATAGTTGCCCAATGCCTGCTGTTTGCACTGAAAGTACTCTAAGATTCTTCATTTTAATTCTAATGGTGTTTCTTAACTTTACCTAATAATGCAGATGTAGTCAATTCCTAAACAACCTTCCAAACAAGCTGATCCTCAAGGTGGCTTATGAAAATAATAATTGAGAATAAAGGCACATTTGAAAAGCCTCTTTTCTCCTCCCATATCTTTAGGTAGAGACCTGATACAAATATTTGGCCTATGTAATGCAGTGGATGATGTAAAAATGTTACAGATTCAGGAATTTTCTGTCCCTGCATGAATATCTGCAGAGATCTCACAAGCGCCAATTTTACACAGTGATGTCATTAATAGCCAGTAAAAAAGAGTTATTCATATTATTTTCCTTATTATTCCTGTATGCCCCTCATTCCTTTTCCCTTGTGCGACATGTCTTTTTTAGCTTCTAAGCTGTCAGGCAGGGACTGTCTTTATTGATTATATGTAAACTGCTCTGAGAGCTTTTTTGGCTAAAGAACAGAATAAAATACTTTAAATAAATATAAATATGTCATTTTCAAAGGGTTATTTTTTGTATTTGCTGGGGGGGGGGCGGTTGGAGAATCTTGGGGTTATCCAGTGAAACTCACTGGCAGGAAAGAGCAGGAAGTAGCACTGCACACAGTTATTCACTCATTGAACTTCCTGTCCTAAGATGTGGGGCAGCAGTCACCCATTTAACTAGTATTCAAAGGGACTGGAGAAATTCATGCAGGGGGAACGGTCTACCAATGGCAACTAAATGAAGCTTCCAACTTCAGAAGCAGCATGTCACTGCATAAAAACTGCTGGGGAACATGGGTGGAACAAAACAGGAGAGAGATGCTGCCCTTGTGCCTGAAGGCTTATCTAGTCTAGCAACTGCCTTCCTGCCTGGGTCAGCCAGCTGCCCACGGAAAGCCAGAGATGAACCTTTGGGCTGCTCTAGCAAGGCCTTTCTCATGTTCCACAGCAGAATTCTAGACAAAAATAAGCAACAAAACACTCTTCCATGGACATACACCACAGCATGAACATCCACAACCCGTCTTTCTCCCTCTGTAAATGTTTGGCTGCTTTGTGATGCCCTTGTGTTGGTTTTTGTTCCCTCCTGGACACTGGAGCACACAGCTAACTGGAGGGCTGGAAAGACACACCATGTTTGCTTTCCGCGTCCGGACAGGATGTCAGGTCACTGACACCATTAAAGGAAGCCTCACACAAAACCTCAAATCCTGTGCTTGGGACAGGGTTTCAATAGCTAAATGGAAAGTCAGAGGGCCTTGCCTGCAGGGCAGGGAGCACATGGCAGGAAGTGCAGCATGGCATGTGCAGAAGGAGGGGTGCGGATGGATGGCACGCCCTGCTGCAGGCCTTCACAGATGCAAATAGAACACTTTTTTTTTTGTCACATGGAGGGTCCCTAGGTCACTCCCCCTTCCTCTTCCGCTGCTGCAAATTGCTGAAGGCTGTTCTCTGCCTCCTAAGGTCTGGTTGCCAACTTTTCAGCCAGGCCTTGCTGCTGTGCTTATGACCACAGATTGATCGACAGCAGTAAGCAAGTGGGCAGTCTGCTTCAGCATCACTGGAAAGAGAGAACAAGAGAGGACACCCATTGGTGTAACAGTTGCATAGACATGTTTACAGGTGCAAATCCAGAAAGAATGCCTCTAATCCAAACAGAAATGCAAGACCTCATCATTGTGGAAAAGACTGACTAGGTGACCGTGTGCTTTGCTCATTCTGCTGTCCAGCTGTTTCCTGTGCATGGGAAACTTCAAGCCTCTGTCCCTTCTTATAGTCTCTGATCATTAAACTGCACATGGATTCGACAGCCCATCAAATAGAGGATTATCCTCTATCAACTCTCCAAAAGAGAGGAGTGCCTTCTTTGAAGTAGAACTCCAACCACCCAATGGCAAGACTCTTTTTTCTGGAAATAAACATCGATTGAACCACCCTTGACAGGCCAGCTGTGGGGGCTGGTGGGCACATGAAAAGGTATCAACCTTCACTGTGGTAATTTACTTATTTGGTAGCGGCCTTGCATCTAAATCAAGATGTGCTAATAAACTGACCCTAAGAATTTGCTTTTATGGTCAGCAGCTTGCTAGGGCAGTGAAAGGAAAGCAAGTGCACTGTAAAAAACTTGGCATCCCCAAGACTTCTAAAAAGAAAGGAATGTGATTCACAGGGGTGAGCAGCGCCCGCCCCAGTCAATTTGCTGCAAGCGACAAGATGGTCTCCTACTCAGTCCACCATCCCCATTCCAAGACCATCAGCTGAATTTTACATCCTCCCAGAAGAGCCAGCCTGGGGGCCAAGTTCAGGCCCTCTGGCACCTCACTGCCACTCACTCACACTCCCAGCATCGGGGCCGGCCCAAGATGCTTTGCTACTGGAAGTGAAGGACAAGATGGCACCCTGCACTTCCACTTACAGAAGCCAACTAGACTGGCAGTCGAATCCCTTCTTCAGCTCAGGTGATGGGATAGCCTGCTTCACCCAACATGAGAGTAGCAAACTAGCTCAGGGGTGTGGGGCAGCCTGCTCAGGACACACACTTCTCTTTAATGCCTGCACTGTATTTTCAAACTACCCAATAAATTGTCCGCTGGGCAGCACACTTTGTGGTGCAGCTCTATGTGCCCATAGTGAGGAGCAGCCAGGAGGCCACTGCAGCCAGGTCAGGCCACCTCACTCCCCCAGCCCTGGCAACGGCCAGCTGGTCCCTGCGGCCAGAGCCTGCTTCTGCAGGGGATGGGATGAGGCAGCTGCTGGAGCCCCCAAGCTCAAAAGGGGGCTCCCTTTCCACAACGCTGCTGGGCAGTACTATTGGGGAGAGGAGTGTAAAGGTGACCTTTCGTTCTAGGACAGAGAGTTGAAAGGTGGAGCTGTAAAAAGGAAAAAAACAACAACAACCAAAAGGGCGGGGGAGAGGATTTGGCACTTGGTGCGGCTTGGCTGGCTTGCATGAATCCTCTGGCCAGAGAACTTTGGCGCATTTTCAGTTTAGACACACCTTGCTAGTTGAGGGCCCCCTCCCTCGCCTACCGCTGCCGCCGCCATAGGTTCCCAGGGCCGGCCCTGGGGAAGAGCGGATGATGCCCCAAGAGGACCTCCAACAGGACTGGCCGAAACAGGTCGGGCAAGGGCCCTTCCTCTCGAGAACGCCGTTTTCAGAAAGGAGGCCCCCTGGCTCGTCTCGGCACGTAAGGGGGCGGGCCGAGGGAGGGGGCCCTCAACTAGCACGGGGAGCCTGCAAAGCAGCCGCGGGAAGGGCTGCGCGCGGCTCTGCGGCAGGCCTGGGCGTTGGCTCCCGCCCAGAGGAACTGCGCGCCGGATGCTCCCGACCAGGCCTGGCTCCTCGCGGCCGATGATAGCAAGAACGGGGTGAGCGGGGCAGCGGGCCGGCCTCCCGCTCCCGCGCCTCCCACCCAGCCCCATTACCTCAGCCCCTCAGGAATCTGGCCTTGCAAGGATGAAAGCGGGCGGGGGAAGAGACCCGCGCGTCATTGAGAAGTACCAGCTGGGTGGGAGGTCACTTCTCCTGCCTCGGAATGGAAGGGGAGCGCTGCAAGCGAGGACGCCTCTTGGCGTGCAAAAAGGGAGGGGACCTACAGCTGAGCCCACGGGGGGGGGGTATCTTAGTGGGTTAAAGCAGGGTCGCTTAGGGGAGGAATGAGGGATGGCAGAAGCAAGTAACACAACTCCGAATGTATCAGAGGAAAGTGTGTTTTAGGGCAGAGATGGGCAGAAGGTAGATTTCCAGAAGTGTTGGACTGCTTATTCCTAGAAGCCTTTGCCAGCATGGCCGATGGTCAGGGGAGCTGGGAGCCAAAGTCCAAAACATCTAGAGTTCTGCCTTACTTCCTGCTCCTGTTTTAGCACATGGATTCTGAAGCCCTCCTAAACCTAAAGGAATGAAGCCTGCACATGTAGTGGTAGCTGTTAATAGGATGGGATGATGACTTGCATTGTCTGGAGATAGGAAGGGAAGGGTGGGACAGTGCAGGACACTTCTGCTTCTCTGTGGGCCATCAGAAATTCTTGGGTATTTCCAGACCATCTCTCCTGTCGCATCAACCAGTTAAAGGCCATTGAGCAGCTATTCTGTATTTTTAATGGACTTTCTGTTGTGAGAAGGAAAGAAAAGAAAAGAGAGAGAAATGTGCTGGGTTAGGCTTCCGTAATGCCAATACTTTCCCTTGTTCACAGGCTTTTACTAGGGTTGTTCAGACAGAAACTGCCAGGGGAAAACATGGGAGGATCACAAGGGGGAGGCATTGTTGTCCAGACCTCTTTAACATTCCACAGAAGCTCCCTGGAAGCCCCCCCACACACCCCTCCCACCCCAGCTTGCCTTGTTAGATGTCCAACATCTATGGCCACTGCAAGGAATAAAAAACCCACAGGATGAGGGAAACCTGGGATGCAAGAAAAGACTTGCATACACGCACCCACCCAACGGGGTTAGAACCCCCTCAGTGTCTCATAAAGGCAGACAAACGCATTACTGCAGTAGTTGATCAGCCTGATTTCCAGGATTCTGGAGGAGGGCTGCAAGCCAGGATTCCTCTCTTCTCAAACTCTTGGATAGGGTCAGAGTTGTGAGCAATGGAGTGGGGGGGTGGGGTGGGCTGGGCTGAGAGCCAGGCCTATGGAGGCCTGCTTCTGGCTGGTGGAGGAGGTGAGGGAGGGCACTGGAATCGCTCCCCTATAAGGCAGCCACTCCACTTTGGGGCTGTGTTTACACTGAGCCAAGGTGACTCAGCTCCAGGCCTGCATTCCTGAGCCCTGGGAGTGGGGTGGGCAAGGGTTAGGCAAGTCTTGTGGGTATGAACAAGCTAAAGGGGAGGTGGGGTTAGGCTTCAAGCAGCACCCAGGCCTTAGCACATACCCCTAGCGTTTGTGGGGGGTATAAATAATGATAAGGGGGATTGGAAGAGGGAAATGGGACTCAAGACAACTTGATGAACCTTGGGGAAAGGTTGGGGCACAGCACAGAACAGAACATTTAAGCTGTGCAGAGGCCACATGAAACTAGTTCACATGATCTCTTAGTGCCCCCTGCTGTCCCAATCAGTGAAAAAACATTACTACTACTTAATTTGCAAAGCAAGTGGTATTCCAGAGCTGTTTTCAGTGGAAGCTTTGCATCCTAAGCTGACATGTGATAACTGATGGATCTTCAGTGGGGAAGGGTGGTCATGGTACTCATCCTCCAAGACACTTGTATTATTGATTTAGGCCAAGAGTTTATATTTAAGTTTTTGTCCCATTTACTTGATAGGTATTGTCGAGTTTAAATTCTAAATTTGAACGTGGTTACTTATATTAGTTGATTCAAGTGAATGTATATGGTATCATCAAACCAAACATGTGCAGAATATTATGTTTTTTGGAGGGTTGTACTTCTGTGTTATTGGTTCCATCCTATGATCCAACAACACAGGAATTCTGACTACAATAAACAAACAAAATGATTGGACAAATGAATAAAGAACAATTTCAGCACAAAAGAAGTCAAAAGTTTCAGTCCAGGATATTCCCAAATAAACCATTCCTGATCTCCTTTCACAATCAAAACATATCAAGCAGAAGAGAAACACAGACTTCCTCTAAGCCCAAACCACCCTGCCATGTCCTTCTGGAGTGTGCAAAACTAACCCTTGGCTGCCACATGTACAGGTAACCCAGTAAAGCATAAATGAAGCTAAATATACATTTCTTCCAGAAAAAGAAAGGCTGGCTATTTGCAAGAAATTATATATGAATCATGTGTGCACACATACAGGATCTATATTACATGCATGCAAAATAAAGACCGCACCCTGCAAGCACTGATGAGCATCTGGTGTTGCAAATCCTCATGCCTCCCATAAACCCGATCAAGAAGAAACAGCAGAATCCCTTGAACTTAAATCACCTGCCTCTGCAAGCCCTTGGTTTGCTGTGCTGTAATACAAGGCTCTGTTGGGAGATAAACTTCATGCCCCATGTTTTAATTATTAGGAGCAGAAATGTCCCACTTTCAGATTTTTCTAACAGGCCATGCTCCAGTCTTTTAGCTGCTATCCCAGTGCCATAACCATTTGAGGGAGCACCTTCAAGCTGCTAATATCAAGGTTACAAATTTTCTAGTTGCAGGTTTTTGCCAGTAACAGGCGGCTCATGATAGAGCTGTATCATGATTTCGTGGCTCAAAGTTCTGGTGAAGCATCTTGTTTGAATATCCCTGTAAGCGAATAAAGGGAGGTGAAACATTAACACACACAGCCCCTCAAGAAATAAAATTCACACTGAAAAAAGCATTTGCTTTGGAAACCAGGCCAATACATGCTGAGGAGACGCATTGTTCCAATGGGCTTGTGGATTAAGTTAGCATGATGCAGTTTCCTTCACTAATCTGTGGAAAAGTTCCTTTCTAGTTTACCTTCTGCAGTGTCAGATGTCTCCTAGAGCATATAGCGCTTGCTTTAGCCAGTATCTCTGAAGTCAATAAGGAGGCAGGCACAGCAGGTGTTATAGGTGCGATGGAGTTTTCCAGTTTGGGCCTTTACCTACCTCATCCAACCTTTCCTACTAATTCTAAGACCACTTTGACTTTGCATAGTGTATATTTTATCTTCTCAAGCCCACTTATGGGCATTGCATGGGAAACAGGTCTGAGGGTAACCCAGTAACATTAGAACTTTACATCATACAGTCACCATGTTCTTCCTGGGATGTGACGACTGCATCGATGCTCAGATTGAGGCACATTGTCACAAGAGAGTTGTCTGTTTTACTCCTCCACCACAGTTTGGACATTTTGGTTTGGTAGGGGTACTGAGTTGTCTGATATTCCCAGCGACTGCCACTGCATTCAGCCCATTCATGCAATTATGCCTAGGATTACCCCAGCAGCAATCAGGAACAAGCATAAGGATAGGGGTGCTCTGCCAGGGGACCACCAGCTAGTTTTCAGCCAACTTGAACACAATTTTCTAGGTGGAAAGGTGGATAAACCAAAAACTAAATAGTTTCCAGTGGACCACCCACCAATAGCTGTTTGCTAGGATTCCTGCAAAAAAGTAAATAAATGTTGGCCTTGGTAAAACTTGGCCTGAGTCAGAAAGGCACAGATGAGGATTTTAAGGGGGAAAAGTACACTCTCAGGCACAATGGATTAGTTACATGATGACTTCAGTCCCAGGTTGAAGTAAAGGGGTGCCTGGGATTCTTGTAAAAAAAAAAAAGACTCATCTCTGCAGACTGTACCCCCATTTAAGCTGGCTGCAGAGATAGATGCACACAGTACTGTTAATTAGATCCAAGTGCTATAACCAAATACCTTTGGACTCACATAACTGCTTTACCAAATGCTCGAATTCTTTGTTTTCGTTTCAGTCTAAAAAGCACTTTGTGGGAGTCATGTGGGCAATATCAGTATGGGGTAAAGAAGAGATAATGACTACCCTCCACTTTGTGATAACTATTTCAATGATAATAGAAAAAAGAGGTATCTTATTCCCATTTTACAGAATAAGAAGCCAGGCTGAAGCAACATAACTTGCCTAGAGCCTCCTGCCAAATAGGATTTCAACCCAGCTCAAACATGAAGAAAGACTAGAGTCTTATGCAGTTGTATATATTTCAAAGGAATACTTTTTTGGAACAAGCTGGTAGTGTACTGGCTTACCAAGCTCAAAAAATAATTATTGTGCCAGAGGGAGAAGAGAATGAGATACACATGTTCAGGGATTTGGCTAGAGGAATGTAATAACATTACATAGAAAGTTGTTCTGTGAAGCTGATCCGTTTGTCCAGCTTTGAAGTCACTGAAGGGAAAGAGTGAGTAGAAGGGCCAATTAGTAGGTTATATTTTCCATTTACAGTGTTCCTCCCAGGAGGGATTTCTGCGCATAGTTACATACACACTGATATGAGTATGCCCCTTCATGCTGCTTCCAGCTGTTCTGCTGGCCATGGCAGCTTTCCCCACCAAGACAAGGAAGAAAGGAAGGAAGGAAGGACGGACTCTAATGCAACCTAAAACTGGGGTAAATTTAGAAGGCCTGGTGATTGAGAGCAACACAATTTCCATCAAGTTAAAAAGAAAACTTTTCCTTTCTGTTGTGCTCAACATCTGTAATCCTGGCTTTCCAGTGCTTGGAAAACTAATTAGAACCACTCTCCCAATATGTTTGCCACTTATCAGTTTTTATACCTAAGATAAATATCATGTATGTGTGACTCAGATCATATCAACCAGTCAGCCCATTCATGGCAAACAGAAGTGAGGTATTTTGGTGACCCTTTTTTTCAGCAGTATTCCTCAGTGAGAAGCATTTGCAGTTATTAAGAATAGCCTTAGGCAGGGGAAGGTACCATATTCACCCACACATTTCATTCTATCAGTGGGAGAAATTACTTCTTTCAAAAGTTTCTCCTTTCAACAGGGAATTTGAGTGGTGGATGAAGGGGACAGTCATGAGATGGATATATATCAGGATCACATTGTGTCAGGAAAATATAGCTGTCCTGGTAAGCACAGAGTGTCGCCTCACTGTTACTGACCCAACCGGGAGCCTGTGCGCACTGCAGCTTCTCTGACCGATGCACAGGGGGCAAGAGAGGCTGCTTGCCCACGCCCTGCCCTGCCCAGCTCAGCTGCTCTGCACCTTCCTCCACTAAGGAGGATGTGGGGCAGAAAAAGTAGTTAGTGTGCTTCTCCGCTTCCCATTTTGGAGAGTGACCAGCACACTAGCAAAGGAGAATCTGTTACCTTGAATCAAGGATTAGAAATAACAGGGAGCAAACCCTCCCTCTCAAGCATGACCTCTGTCTGCCCCAGGTTGCTTGCATGGCTTGAGAAAGGAGCTAAAGCCTCCATGGGCCTGAGGTGCACGATTCTTTCCTCTCCACAGTGGCTTGTGAGAAACACTGACTCACATCAAGCACACACAGTCATGGGACCTTCTTGTAATTAAGTTCCTTTTCTGCAGAGCACAGATTATTCTTCTCACTTGCTCTGAAAGGCAGGATTATGCCAAATAGGCTTCAGAGTACCTTCGCTTGTGGGAGAGCAGAGGGAAGCCTGCAATGGTGCTTAATTGATGATAAAATGCTAGGCACAAGAAGGCAGGAATGTGCACACAGAAAGGGGAGGTCGCTTACTTATCCAGCTGGTGCTGAGCTAAAATCAGAATGTGATGCTGAGAAACCAGCAGCTCAGAGGATCATTCATACCAGGCTGGTCAAAAAAAGCAGCGGGAGTGAAAACTGCACCTGGGCACTGCAGCAGACAACTATGTTGAGGAAAAGTTTCCTCAAGGCACTGAGATATGGACAATATACAAAGAAAACGCTCTTTATTTTTAGCCCTTCTCAAAAGAACTCTATATATGTACATTTCAGAATACAATATGTAGTATTTCCCAGGTCTGCCTCCAGTGTCTTCCATATCCTAGTGGGAACTTTTTCCTCCTTCCCAGCGGAACTTGGAGTTTGCTGTCTATCAGAGATCAGGACAACTGGCAATCCTCGAGCATGGTGTGAATAGCCTTGCATCTCTGTTGCAGCTCTTCAAGTTTTGATGCTGAAAAAGTAAAATGTTGCTTAGCTATGGCAAAGACAGACTGAAGCATCAAGAAGGCTCTGGAGCCAAGTGCCTTTTTCACTTTGAGCCTGGCAGCCCCCTACCTGCACACCCTTGTTCCTCCCCATGCTGTGCTGGAACCTGACATTTCTTTGGAAGAAGGGTACCCAAGGGCTGAGTGCTCCATCTTCCAAGTGGTCCTGCCCAGACTAATTTGTCCAATACTTAATGAGTTCTGCTCCTTCTGGCTCAAAGGAAGGTTTCTGTCCTGTCTTCCCTACATTTCCATCACCTGAAAAAAATGAGACTTTCCCACAGGCTTAGGCCAGTTCAAAATCCGTAAGAGCTACAAAGGCATTTCAGTTACGAGTCACATCTTCCCACTAGGATTTTGCCTTGGTCTCCAAGTGGAAAGCTGAATTTGCAATTAGCTCTTTGCAGGGGGAAAGTGGAATAGTGGAATGCTGGAGACCAGCCCCCACAGTAAGGGGGCAGCCATGCACGTGGCAGCAACCTCTCCTCAGCTGCAAAACTTACGCAGTGTGACTTTGGCACTGCCACTCCAAACTGTCTTCTCTCCATGACGCTGCTTCACCCTCTCCACAACGAGCTTAGATGTTTCCATAACCTGGGCCAGGCTTTGCAGCTCCTGTAGATAAGAACATGCGAAACCAGAATGCCCGATCAGCTGCATCCTCCCAGTAGCTTGGGGCCCTCCCTGCCTCCAACTGTCCAGGAACTTCTGCTCTAGGTACTAGCATAAAAGCTGCCGTAGTCTGAACTTCCAAAACATCAGATGTGCTAATTATTGGGTGCATTTATATATAAGCCTGCAATTTCCAAAGGGGTAACAGGATTGGTCTTCTGCAGCAAAAACAAGCTTGTGTGTCTCTAATTAAGAAAAGTGGCACAACAGCAAAGCAACAAGGAGGTGCTTTGGGTCCACTGTGAATGCAGTCCATCTTAAGCAAATATATTTAAGGTTGGTAGACTAAAATTGTATTTTCTTGTATTTTAACCTAATGTTGTGAGCTGCCCCGAGGCTTCGGCGAATGGGGCGGCATAGAAATGTTTTAATTAATTAATTAATTAAATCAGTCAATTAAAAATATACTTAATGCTACAATGTTCCAACTTCCATCCTCATCAGTAGCCAGGGGCCTTTGTGATAGAAAGCTCCTCTGTGCAAAGCAGTCCACACACAAAGAAAAGCAGCTCTCAGGAAGGTTTCTACCTAGCCTGTTCTCTCACTTGCTCATTTCCTGTGTGCAGAGATGAAAATATGCAGAGCAAATCCTAGAAAAAGAGTAAAATCCCAGCAAGATAGCCAGTTGGCTACTAAGAAACTAACTATGGCATGCACTGTGGCATTTTCTGTCCCTGCTGCTCTACTCATGGCTTCCACCAAGTGATAACAGACCTGCAAGACACCCTGTGACAGTGGCCGTGAAAGGGCATTTTCCCACATTATAGCCACCTGGCCTCCCCACCCTGAATCCTGTCCTGCCCACCACACACACACGGAAGCAATCTCACCTTCACGCATAGCAGCAGGCCCTGGTGTACAGCTTGGAAGAGGGGGCCACAGGGGCTCAGCCTTGGAGCAGGGCGCTCACAGTGCTTCAGCTCGTTCTCATACACCTGCTCAAAGGCCACAAGTAACTGGTGGAAGTCGGAAGCAATCAGCTTGAATGTCTGCAGAGCTGTGACACTGTCATAGGATGAGTCTGTACCCGCCGGATCTTCCTGCAGGAAAGAACACTGAAAAAGCCCCATTTGGGGGTGACTGCTGTTCTTTGCCAAGCCCTCACTCTCCCTCACTGCTGAGCAAGAAAATGGATGACATCAAGGCATGGCTGGGCACCTGTCAAGGGACCACAACCTGACAGGGGCCACAGACAAGGAGTCCCTGAAGCGGCCCTTCCACTTAGCCATTGCAAACTAGCTTTTAACCTGCCTCTCTTCTGAGGTGGAGCAGGTGGTGCCATTACCTCCTTGCTCATTTCCCAGCAGAGAAAAGAGGTGCAAGAAACAATGAGGAGGAAGGAGGAGGAGCAAGAGCAGCTGGTGACAATTGCGGCCAGAAGGCAGATGCTCTGGTGGAGGGGGGCCACTGAGGGTTTCTGCCCAAGGCCCTCAAAAATCCAGGGCTGGCGCTGACCTCTAGGAATGAGGCCTAGAGCAGGCACAACCAAGTATCCATCCACCCATAGTTTACTCAGAGTACTGGAGGACCTTAATTTGGATTGTTTATACTAGGTAGAGAGGAAATGCAATGGCAAGCGGGGGGTCCTGCTCCAATTTAAGGTAATTAAGCTATGGAGCTGGGAAAATGTAGAGATGGCAGGAAAGGTCCAAGTTGCCCTAAAGTGAGAGAATAACTTCTGTGCTGAAAATGTTCCACATGCCTATGAGAGAGATGGGAGCCCATGCATCCACTGTGCTCCTGTGGATACCTTCAACTTAGTACAGGCAGCAAAGGGACCATTAGAATGCTGAGAGGGACAGACAAAATCTGCCACTTCCTGCACATGTATCAGAAAATGCCATGCTGCCCCCCACCTCCGCAACGGACATAGGCAGCACCATAAACAACTGCCTGATGCCAAGGCCCCAAGCACTGTTCCAAGCCATTTCAGATTTTGTCTTCCTCATTTTCGTGTTTGGAAATTCGAAAGCTCATCTGGTTTTACTCCTGTGAGAAATACGTTGCTGGACTAGATGGGCCTTTATATTGGTTTCTTATTTGATTTGCAGCCCACTTTTCTACCAAGAAAAGGCACCCTCTGATCTGATTGAGTGGGGTTCTTCTTAAGATGGCCCATATGGCAGATTTTTTAAAGAAATGGTTACAGCCATTACATTGCAGCATGCCAGGCACCTGCCAGAAAAGAAGGGTGGCAAACTTAAAAAGGAAATATGGTCTATGGGAGAGAAGTAAATAGGGCTACACAGGAACTAAAGAAAGGAAGGTGTGGGTTAGGTCCCATTGGCAGGTTTACAGGGGTGGTACAATACAGCAGTTCACGGCTGAAGAAGGGAGGGAAGCAGTGATCTCAACAAAGATGGTGGATGAAGCAGCAGAGGGAGGAAATATCTTTCAGGGGCAGAGGAAGTAGATGGGGACCAAAGGCTACACAGACAGGTCAAAGGGAAATGCCGGTTGGCAACCCCTCACCACCTTTATGGCCATTTTCCAATCTGCATTTTTACCGCTTGGTGGGCGCCTGACTAGCAAAATGTCCTGAGCTACAGATCAAAAAGAGGCCTTAAGGCTACCGAGCCCAGTCTCTCATGGCAAACCTATATGCTGTAAAACATGGAGTGCATGTGGCAAGACCTCTCCAAGCACATTCATGACTGCGCTAGGAGAATGAGTAAGTTCCAGATGACCCAGTGAGATGACCCACTCACCTGGCGCAGTGCAAGGCACCCACTCTCACCCAAGAAACTGGCCTGTGTGCTGCTTACCTGGGCCCTCAGACCTTCCAGCCTTGCAGCTGCATCTTCTACCTGCTTCAGTAAATCCGTCAAGGTTCTCTCATGGGAAGCTGCTGATCGCAGGACCCTATATAGCACAGTGGGACAAGGAGGCAGGGCATCAGGACTCTGGGATTCCACCATCAGGTTGGCAAAGAAAGAAAAGGAAGGAAAAGAGTAGAAGCACAGTGTGTGGGCAGGAGAGCTGGAGTTTACTCCCCAGCTCAGCTTTACATTAGCCATGTCCTTCCGCTTTCATTTGCTGGCTTTGAAGAGTGGCTCAGACATCAGAAGTGCCTGAGATCAAGGTCTTTCAAGCTCTTTTTCTTCCACAAGCAGAAGGTGAGCAGAAGAACCAGACAACTCACCTTTTTGGCAGTATGTTTTTACCCACAAGGAGGGGCTTGATGTCGGAGCTCCAGGGATGACACTCTGGGTTCAACACAGCCTGCAGATCAGGGCTATAGAAAACCTGCTTCACAAATTCTTCATTCTTCTTCACTATCTCTTGGAAATATTCCTCTGTGCTGGAAGAAAAAGAGGCAGATATTAGAGAACTAGAGGGGCTGGTTGTGGAAACACTGTGGCCCACAGGTGCCTAGACAGCCAACTGAATACAGTGGTACTTTGGTTCATGAACAAATCAGGTCACGAACAAAAATTTCTGAAAAAATTTGACTTGGGTCGCGAACACCGCTTTGGGTGGCGAACCATCTCCCCCCCCTCCGCCCCCAAGTGGGGAGATGGCCACGATCACAGTTCCGTTCCTGCAGGGAACACATGTGTGATCAGGAAAGATGGGAGCAGCAAAGCAGAGCCGCGGGGGAGATGGCAGAGATTCCGCCTGTCTTTCCTGCAGGAGCGCGGCTCTGATCAGGCACGCCTTCCCTGCATGAACGGAACTACAATCGCAGCCATCTCCCCACCCCCAGCACACCGTTTGCACCCATCTCTCCCTCCCCGTGTGCCTGCGATCATGCCCGTCTCTCCCCCCAACTCCCCAGTACCCGGGATGACGGGCGCCTGCAGGGATGACAGTGCGATCTTGGTCATGCTGGCGGGTGGGGTGATGGCCGCGCTTGTGCTTGGGGTAGGGGTGGGGGGAGATGGCCGTGATCTTGTTGTTGTCACTTTGCTTCACATTTTTCTGTCTTAAAAAATGGTTACAGAACGGATTGACCTTATTTACATTGAACCTTATGGGGAAATTTAACTTGACTCACGACCAATTTGGGTCACGACCAGAGTCCTGGAAGTTTGTGAGCCAAGGTGCCACTGTATTCTGCAGCTCCACTTCTAGCACTGGGAATGAGAATCAAGTGTAAGCAAAGGACACTGCACCCTAGCCCTGCTGCTGAAAGAGGTGGCTCAGTATACTAAAGGAAGAGGCTCAATACCGGAACAGGCTCAGCGCTCCATCCTTAGAATGTGGACTCAGAGCATTCCAATAGCTGGAGAATGGATGGCACACATGGCCAGGCTGAGCATGAAAAGTGGCCTTTGATGGTCGGTAAGAAGAGGAAGGGAGAAAAGAAACCACTGTTATCCTAGTACCACCATGATGGAACGTATCATGACAGCCAGTGTGGTGTAGTGGTCAGAATGTTAAACTGGGACTTGGAAGATCCGGATTGTGGCTTTGGCCTATCTCTGCCTGATCTACTTCACAGGTTTTTTGTGAGGATAAAATGAGGAGGAGGAGGAACATGTGCATTGCTCTGGGTTTCTTGCAAAGGGAAAAAGGCAGTGCAGGAATGTAATAATAATGTTAGCATCAATAATTAAATCACCATGAAAAGGAAGAGGGTGGCCTCAAAGAACCCTAAAACTGGGACATCAGAGCCAATTTTTTTCAGACGAATGGTTTATAGGTTTAATATTATGAAGAAACCAGTTCAATGCCAGCCCCATTCAGTTGCTCTCTCCCAATTCAAAATTAATTCCTCCTGTGCACCACTGAGGTTGTCTCTTCACTTCATTTCCTTTAACAATTTAACCCAGATTAATGGCATTTCAATAACAAAAGAGAAAATTTCTTAAAAGTCAGAAAAAGCTTTAATAATCCTGACAGCTATTTCTTTCCTCAAGGACCTCTCATTTTATTCCCTGAATACAGCTTGCAGTGTCGTACTAATGCTGCCTCAGTTTCAGACTACTCAACACACTACTTTTTTGTCCTCATGTGGCTGCACAGAAAAGTCACCAGGTGTTAGGAATCACAGGGCCTGTGGACAGGTGGACAATATTTATGAAGTGACAAGACAGAGACCCTTCCCAGTCATCCTCTCTCTGCTCCTCCCCACCATAGCCTCAAATATATCATTGACCTTTCCTTTGGAGTCCATGAAAAAAAGGAAGATACGCACCTAGACACTGGACTCGGAAACATTCTCTGCTTGAGTCAATCCTGTTCCACATGATAGACAAGGAGCTTAGATCTCTGCACAAAGGCCATTCAGTACAGCAAGTCTCTACATCCCAACAGTTGCAAGGCCCCGCACTTTGAAAAGGGAGATGCTAATCTACTTTGTGTTCACCTGAAAAACTCCAAGTCAGATAATGGGAGATCACTCTCATCTGATACCGCAGCCAGGAGTTGCTCCAGGAAGTGTAGCTGCTTCCGGGCAGAAGCATTTCCCTGTTCATGAAGAAGATGTCAGAGGAGCTACATACAACTCAGCATATTGTTTCCAACAGTGGCCAGCTAGATGCCTCTGGAAAGTTCACAAGAAAGGCATTCCCCCCCAGCAACTGACATGCAGAAGTACCCTGCCTGTGAACATGATACATATGTAAATAGATTCACAAAAAAATCTATGAAAGATTCTAGAAAGAAGAGGGAAGGATACTCATTTTTCAGTAATGATATACTTTGAACTTTCAAATATCTAACATTTATCTCAAACAAAAGGGGAACGGCTCACTATATTTACTGTAAGGAAGTCAAACTGCAGCAGAAAGCGGACATTACAAGGCAACAGCAATAGATTTACGTATGGGGGTGGGGAGTGGGCATCCCGTGAGCAACTCGAAAAGAGCCCCCTCCCACAGCCTTTTCCCAGGCACTTACCGCAATGAGATCCAGGTCATTGGCTTGAGAAAGCATCAGCTCATACCCCAGCTTTGCCATTTCTGTTAGGATAGGAGGCAGTTTTAGTTCCAGAGCCCGAGCCACTCAGGCTCACAGCTATAGGAAGAAGTGCGTGCACGCACGCCTACGTGCCCGGCCCATGCCCACCAGGCTTAAATCTGCTCTGCAGTGCCTATTTCAAGAAATAATCCCTCTGCTGGCAACAAAGAGTGCCCTTCATGAAGCACTTCACACGTTCCATCACTCAGTGCTCTGGCCCATGCTAGCCCAGCCTTGCCTTCTTTCAACTGGAATCATCCCTCCAGGGTTTTAGACCATTCAAATAAGCCCATGGCTATGACAAGACCTCAGTTTTAGAAGTCTAGAAATATATGATGTCTTATTATACTTGGTGCACTGCAGTTTCGGCACCAGCATCAGCCCCATTATCAGAGGAAACAACAGACCACGGCTGATCTGAGGGATTCACAGGATGAAGTCAAGTAGCAGGATTTCCTTTTCCCCCCTCTCAGGCAGAGACCACGTCGCACACATGATGATATTCACACTGAAAAAACATGCTTAAGGTGGCCACTTTTATTCTGAAAAAAAAAACTTTTGTGTGAACCTTCATTCTGGCACATGTTCCTGATTAGGTTCAGGCCCCACATTGGTTTCCCCCCAGAAATCCCGCCTGCACAGCTGTTTGGCCCTCCCAAATGGGTGAAAATTTTAGCATGAAATTGATGCGGGGCTCCAATGTAATGAGGAGCATGTTCCAGTTTGCCTCCCTCCCTCATACTCAATGCAAATGCTTTCCATTCTAAATAAAAGTGGCCAGTTTAAGCACACCTTTTTACAAAAGTGAGTAAAGCATGTGGTAAGTCAGACCACCTTGACAGTTTAATATGTAAACACTACAACTGCTCCAAGCAGGATGAGAAGGGAACTAAATCTTAGTTCACAAAACCATCCTGTATTAATCAAAGTTAGTCCACTAAGATGCATATCAAACCCCTTTGCTCCAGCATCAGCTCTGTAGCTGCCTGGGCCCTTGACAGCTTTCTGACCCTAAATTTACTCATTTTCTGCCTCTGATGCATGAATGCCAGCCTTAAATGCAGAATAAAAAGTTGTGCCCTACAATGTTGAAATGGCCAGCACTGGTTACGTTTGAGTTTTTCCAGACTTATATAGCTTTCAAAAACCCAGTATAGCTTCCACATCTGTACAATGACATCACCACAGCTGGCTCCAAAAGATGGCATGGTGGAGCACATGGCAGAATGCTAGCGAGGCATGGGCCCCACTGAGGGGTTCCATGGGGGCTGAACCAGATATTCAAAGCAAGCACATCACATGGACTTTATTTCTCCCTTAATCTTAACTGGTCCTGCATGTCCAGAAAACTGGCAGGGAGAACCTTGAAGCTATCCATTAGTTATACCGTTGAGAATAAGATGGCAGTATTTTCAGAAAGAAAGGCACAAAGCTTGGTGTTCGCTGGTCTACTGGCAGAAGGCGCCTGGAGTGGTTTCAGTATGTGCCACCTCCGGTGCCTCTCACTGTCTGAGAAGATACACTGAAGGCTTGCTATCTGGGAACCACAAAAAGCATTCATGTTTTTGAACCCTTACAAACAGCAGAATGTGGGAGATTTCATTTCCTTCCAGAGAGGATCCAGTGATACATTTCTGCAAAGAACAGCTCCAGAGGACAATGCTGTGCAATGCTGTCCATAACTTTCCCCTGTATCTGTTCAGAGTGGAGAAATACACTTTCTTTTGCAATGCAACTATTACTACTAAGAATAGGAGTTTGTTTGAATTTCTAGCTGGCATGAGATGAGATTTCCCAATTCAAGATGCCCTTTAGATCAGGGGTCTCAAACTCGTGGCCCGCGGGCCAATTGCCGGGACGGGCAGGGCACGGGGGAGGGGCCCTGCGGCCTTCAAAGCACCGGTGGCGCCCGGGCCGGCCTCCGGATGAGCGGCCCACCACCACTGTGGTGGTGGAATACTTGATGCGGCCCAGCCTCACCCAGACTCTACTTCCAGTGGCCCCCAGGTAAGTTGAGTTTGAGACCCCTGCTTTAGATGTTTTTGACTCTGACATCCATCAATCCCAGGCAGCACAGCCAATGTTAGAAATGGTCATTTGGAAGAGAACCGGGTTAGGGAGGCTGGCCTGGCAGCTATGAGACTAAGCTCCGAATCTATTCTAGTCAGCCAGTCATATCCATTCATCCAGTTTTACATGCCATCACACAAGCCTACTGTGCCCAAAATCAGAAACCGGGAAGCAGTTATGCAGGGAAAGATTTAGACAGGAGCTGGCTTGGTTTTCAGTTCTTCCTAATGGAATTCAATGGGACAGTATTCAACACAACCTAAGTGTATACAATTGACAGAAGACCCAAGTTGCCCCTTCTGCAACTGAGGTCATCAGGGGCAAGTTTAGCTACCCTCTGATATTGTTTGCAAATATTTCTCTTCATTTTCCCCAGAGCACGAAGCTGCAGTGCCAACCTTCCTTCCCCATTTCCATCCAGATGCCCTGTACCTCAGGGCAGCTCAACATGCATTCAAGTCTTTGCATGTACTCACTTTTGTTGCCAGCGGTTTAGACATTAACGGCTGTGTGTTGAGTTATTTTGAGGGGACAGCAAATTTACTCTGTTATACAAGCTGTATATTCATTACTTTAGAAACATAGAAAACAGAGCGAGTCAGAAGGGGTCTCCCAGGCCATCTAGTCTGACCTCCAGCACCAGCCGGCTCCGCTCATGACATGCCCACCATGTGGACGTCCAGCCTATCCTTGAACACCCGCACCGATGGGGCCTCAACAACCTCTCATGGAAGCCCATTCCACACCCTCGGGGTCCTGACTGTCAGGAAGTGCTTCCTGGCATCCAAATGGAACCTTGGCTCCCTGAGCTTTGCTCCGCTGGAGTGCATTCTGCCTTCCTCTGCAGGGGAGAACAGGTCTCTACCCATCTCCGTGTGACATCCCCTCACATATCTGTATGTCACCAACATATCCCCTCTGAGTCTCCTCTTCTCCAGGCTGAAGAGACCCAGTTTCCTCAGTCTCGCCTCATACGGCATCCCCTGCAAACCGGCCACCAACCTTGTGGCCCTATGCTGCACTGACTCCAACCTGGCTATATCCTTTCTGTAATGAGGGGCCCAAAACTGAACACAATACTCCAGTTGCGGGCGCACTAGCGTTGTGTAGAGTGGTAGTAATACCTCTCTCGATCTAGAAGCCACGTTTCTGGCTATGCAACCAAGGGTGGTATTCGCCCTCTTGACCACTGTATCATACTGCTGACTCATGTCTAGCCTGGAGTCAACCAGTACCCCGAGGTCCCTTTCACAAGTGCTGCTCTCCAGCCACTTGTCCCCTAACCTGTACTTATGACACCTATTCCTATGCCCCAAGTGCAAGACCTTGCACTTATCCTGCCCACTTCCATAATCTGTCCAGATCCTTTTGGATCTGGAGTACCTGCTCCTCCATCTGTGCCTGTTCCCTCATATCAGTCACGGGATCTCCTTCCTCCTTATTTAGTGGTCCCACCACTTGTCTCCCCTTCCTCTTCCTATTTACATGCTGAAAGAAGCCCTTTTTATTGCTCTTGATATTCTTGGCAAGTCTCAGCTCGTAATCAGCCTTAGCCTTGCAAAGAATCCTTCTGCAACGGGCCTCTTCCTCCCGGTATACCCTTTTGTCTATTTCCCCCAGTACCCATTTCCTACGGAGGTTCCTCTTTCATCTAATCCCTCTAATCACCTCCTTTAGCATCCATGGTGGCACTCTCCTCCGCCTCCCCACCTTACTGACTAGAGGTATTGTCAAGGCTTGCGCCACCAAAACCTCCCTTTTGAGTGCTATCCACCCCTCCTCAACTCCAGTAACCTATCCCAGGAGACTTTCCCCAGTCTGGCCTTCAGTTGGCCAAAGTTGGCCCTCTTGAAGTCCCAGCTTCTAGTGCTCAACTTGCTGCCCGTCCACAGTCCCGATCTCAAAGCAAAGGATAGAGTGATCACTTGCATCCAGAGCTCCCCTAATCTGTACTTCATCTATCAGCTCCTCCCTATTGGTCAAGACCAAGTCAAGGATGTTTCCCCCCGTCGTTGCCTTTCAGACCCTCTGTGTGAAAAATGCTCCCTCAATAGCTTCTAGGAAGCGACATGACCTGGCTGTCACCACCGAGTGAGTCTTCCAAGTAATATCCGGGAGATTGAAATCTCCCATAATTACTGTGTCTCTCCCCCGAGATATCCTAAGAATCTGGCCTGTCAGGACATCATCCAAGGTCTCAAGTTGACCTGGAGGGCGATAACATACCTCCACTGTCAGGTCTCTTTCCCTGTCAAAACCCCTAAGTTTCACCCAGACTCCCTCTACTGAATCCCCATCTGTGCTGCATTCTATCTCACTGCATCCTATCCCTTCCCTGACATATAAAGCCACACCCCCACCTCTCTTTCCCTTCCTGTCGTTTCTAAAAAGGTGATACCCTTCTATGTTCACATTCCAGACTTGCCTTTCATCCCACCAAGTTTCTGTGATTCCCACCAGATCATACCCTCCTATTCCCAGGAGAGCTTCAAGCTCTTCCTGCTTATTACCCATGCTCCTAGCATTGGTGTACATGCACCTCAACTCCTTCCCACCGCTTCCTTCCCTTGGAGTTCCCAGCCTCCTCCTTCCTCCCAAATACCTGGCCCCTCTCTGAAGGAGTCCTGTCAGTCCCTGCAGTATCTCTAAAACCCTGCTCCCAGAGCCCTGATCCTCCCCCCACACTTGTCCAGTGCAGACACGTTCCTGGGGGGCCTGACCCCCCCGGCTCAGTTTAAAGTCTTCCGGACGAAGCTCGCTAGAGCATCTCCAAAGGACCTTTTCCCCATCCTCGTGAGGTTTAACCCGTCCCTTGCCAGAAGTCCATTTGCAAGAAAACGAGTGCCGTGGTCGAGGAACCCGAAGCGTTCCTTCTGGCACCACACCCTAAGCCAGTCATTCACCTTGGAGGCCCTCCTGTCCCTTCCTGGCCCAAATCCCCGGACAGGTAAGATTGACGAGAAGGCCACTTGGGCCTTCAGCTCCCTGAGTTTCTTCCCCAAGGCCTCAAAGTCCTTGGTGATCCCAGCCACACCCTGCCTGGCTACATCGTTTGTGCCCACATGGATCACCAGGAGCGGCTGGTGACCCCTGGAGTGAACAAGACGCTCCACTCTGTCCATCACATGCCAGATGCGTGTGCCCGGCAGGCAGCAAACCTCCCTTGTCTCCAGGTTGGGGCGGCACACCACCGCCTCAGTGCCCCTCAGCAGGGAGTCCCCAACAACAATCACCCGCTGCCGTACCTTTCTGGTGCTGGTGGGCGGCCATGCCCTGGCCCTCGCCTCTCCTGCAGCGGCCCCCTTGCCGCCTGACATCTCAGGCTGGGGGTCCTGCTGGTCCCCCGAGGCCTCATCAGCCCCAGCCTCCCCAAGTGGAGAGAACCTGTTTCCCAGCTCCAGATTGGTGCCAGGAGAAGGAGGAGGCCGTGCTGGGCTCCTCCTCCTGTGGGTGACATACCTCCATGTCTCTGCAGCTGCTCCTCCTGTGGCCCCTCCCTCAACCCTCTGTCCAGAGCGGGGCTGCCCCGGGGGGGCCTGTAGAGCTCTCTTGGCCCTCAGGCACCTCACCTCCTCTTCCAGCAGGGTCACCATCTTGCACCGAGGGCAAGTGTATCCTGGGGGAGAAGGGCGAACATGTTGCAGCTTTCGCAACGGACAGCAACACCCGTGACTCCTGCCAAGGCCATCTCCTGGTTTGCCATCTTATCCCTTCCGAGACCTTACCTTGGTCCCCTGCCTTGTCTGTCCTGCAGTTCCTCTCACTCGCCCAGTTCTCCCAGACAAAAACCCACTCGCACACACACACAAGGATAAAATAAATTTAAATTGGAAGAAAAACAAAGCACAGCACAGCACAGCACAAACAAACCCCTGTGTCTCAGGGAAGGCAGTCTCCGAATAGCCCGGGCCACAGCTAAGGGACACTTTACGTTGTAGCAAAGTGTCATTTCTTCAGGGTTGTCACATGAAAAGTTATAATAAAATATTTACAAAATGTGAGGGGTGTACTCACTTCTGTGATATACTGTAGATTACACACTTGCCCTTTCAACCCAAACCCAAGGACTACCTTTTATCTTTACATCTGACTCCGATTCTTTGAGGGATGAGAACTGCTGTTGGAGAGGTGGATACACACTGCAAGGGAAAGCAAAAAGAGCGTCAGAACCTTGCTGCAGGAAGGATTATTAACAGCTGCAGAATGGACACACATTTTCTCCAAATCTGGCTTCAGCAACAGCGCTGTTCTTAGCACTGAGAACAGCAGCAAGAAACTCAGTAGTTTCATGTAGAAGTTGAAAGCATGGGGTACAAAGCCCCACGCTGGGGAGTCCACAAAACTGAATGGTATTCCCCCAATTACCACCTCCTGGAGCTGGCCACTGAAGCAGAAGCAACACCACTCCCATGCAGTAACCCCACTCTCAGTTCAGACAATCACCACGGAGGCATACCATAGCCAGTGGTATCAAATGCAGCTGAGGGATTCAGGAATATTAGCAGGGTCACACTTCTTTCATTTCTAACCCAGAATAGGTAGGTCATCATGGTATGGGGAGTCCAGCCAGAACTCTGAAATGAATCCAGATAATGGGATTCATCCAAGGGTACGTGGAACTGGTTGGCTACCACACATTCAGATACCTTGCCTGGGCAAAGGGCCATTTGCCATAGTCCTTCTCTTCCAGCTTCTCATTCCTAGATACACAACTAGGAGAGAGATCCTTGACTTTGGACACAGAACGCCAACTTACCCCTGCAACTTTCTGTCAGACATATCTGCGAGGGCTAGCTAATTTAAACATTGAGGAACTCACTGAAAATCACTTCTGAGTGCAAATTGTCATCATTCTCAAGTTGTGTCCTGCTTAAACTAATCATGCAGCAAACCTACAGGCTTAACCCAAACCTGGGGCCACATATTCCTGATGGTGCTGGCACAGAAAGTCAGAGGAGAATTGGCTTTCAGATGCCATAGCTGCCAAGTGGGAGTTCTGGAACAAGAAAGCACTTCTGACCTGAAACATGGAACTGCAGCTTAACTCATACGAAATGTATGAAAGATCACATTGCAGAACTACATATCTCATTCCTAGCCTTAAAAATGGAACCAGCTATATAGTCACCTAATTTTAGAAATGCGAACAAAGGATAAAAAGCAGCAATAGGTTTCCAAAATTAGCAGAAGAAATTGTCTAGGGAAACTGCTCCTGTCCAACTAGGAAGTGGGAAGAGAAAGAAAGTGACAAAGGGAGTAAAGATATGCCTGTGATGGACATTACCTGATACAAATCCATTCCAATATATCCAGGCGATGAGGTGAAGGGCTACACAGCAACTTCTCTATGTCTTTAGGTTCTGACAGGTAAACACCCTCTAGTGCAGGACAGTTCAGTTGCTGTAAGAGAGGAAGAACAGGGGTTGGGAAAGGGTGGGTAATTCCACTCACTCCAATATCATTCCACATTACTCATCGAGTCCTACAGTGCAGACCTTAAAGAAGTGATAGGTATCCTATCTACATTACCCTTCTAATGTTTTGGACTCCCAGAAGCCTCAGACACCATAGCCAATGGTCAAGGATTATGGGGTTGTAGCCAAAAGCTAATAACTAACAATTACTAAGTGGAGACTACCTAGTGGAGACCAAGACTAATAGCATCCACTCTATTGCACTGATGCATTCGAAACATGGTGCTAGGCTTTGTGAATAACCTGGCCTGACAGAAAGATGCACAAGTGGGTCCTAGATCAAATCAAACCAGATCTTTTCCTAGAATCAAAAATGACAACACTGAGGCTGTCATGTTTCAGACACATCATGAGAAAGCAAGACTCACTGGAGAAGACAATCATGTTAGGGAATGTCAAAGGCAGAAGATGAAAAGGAAGACCAAATATGAGATGGATTGACTCCATAAAGGAATCCACAACCTTAAATTCATAAGAGCTGAGCACGACTGTCATGGATAAGACATTCTGGAGATTCTTCATTCAGAAGTCAGAGACAGTTTGAAAGCACATAACAACAATAAGGGACTGCAGGTGGCGCAGTGGTTTAAACTGCTGTGCTGCTGGGCTGGTAGATCGAAAGGTTGCCGGTTCGAATTTGCACAATGGGGTGAGTTCCCGTTGCTCTGTCCCAGCTCCTGCCAACCTTGCAGTTCGAAAGCATGCAAATGCAAGTAGATAAAAAGTATCACTTTGGTGGGCAGGTAACAGCGTTCCGTGCACTTCGGTGTTTAGTCATGCTGACCACGGAGACTGTCTGCGGACAAACGCTGGCTCCCTCGGCTAGGAAACGGAGATGAGCACTGCTCCCTAGAGTCAGGCATGACTGGACTTAATGTCAAGGGGAAACTTTTACCTTTACCTTTAACAACAACAACTACTACTACTACATAAATAGCAATCTTCCAGGATCACAAATATCCAAACTAACCCATGTACATTCCTTCATGAATCCTTAAAATGATCCTGTAGGGCAGGCAGGAATTCCTATATGTCAGAATCAAATTTCCAGATAGCAACCTTAAATAAGAGTGGAAAAAAATCAAGTTCTTCAGCAGCAAATTCCTCTTTCTGGGATTTAAAAAGCTTTGCCCAACAATATTCAGGCCCTTTGTTTGGATGGCCTAACTTCTACTGTACTCACCCATCAATCCCTGCCTCACATTTCCTAGATCATAACCATTTTAAATTTCTGTCAGTAAATATGTTTTTGTGCTCAAGGCTATAAAATAAACAGCTCTCTAACAAGACTAAAGGCCTTTGCATTCATGACCAGCATTGCTCAGAAAGTATTCTCAACACCTTTCAGCTACTTCTGTATTTTTGCTTAGCAAGAAACCTGCATAACTGAACAGCTAACATATTCCTACGAGTACCATAGCCCTGAATTTCCACAACATGAATCACCCTGCAGCACAATTCATCAGGAAGGCTTCCTGCTCAACCTCCCCAAGAAGCTACTGTCTTGCACAGCTGTTTCATTTTGTTTCAAGGGGACTGGGGCAGGATATCTTCTTTGTAAAGGACAGGGCCCAAAGATAGGGAAGATAGATTTAGTCCTTGGCTTAATTTAGTCCTACAGAGAAATATCACAAGGCCTTTAATTTCCTTGGTGTTCAGATATGTAACATATGGTATCCACAAGGTAAACAAATTAAAACCGTATCACCAGATCTGTATTACCACACAGTAAATTTCTTCACATGGATCTACAGAGGCTATGAAGTTAGTAACATTAGCTACAAAAGAGCAGATTACTTTTTTAAAAAAATCTCCATCTGAAAAATGTTCTGAAATATGGGCTTACTATTTTTTATTCTATTAATATTGATCTGAATGACTTTTCTGTATGCTAACTGATGAAAGAAGAATAGATGCAATTTACTCTCTGATGTAAAAGCCAGTATCAATTTGCTTGAGCAGAGAAGGTTTTGCTTAAGCTTTTTAGGATGGGAGAAGGACTGGGATGGAGTGAGAGGCATGGAACAGAAAACCGGTGTCTCCACTACACATTTTACTTCAGGCAGAAGCTCGCTATCAACAGAATCCCATGACAGCTTACTCACAAGATCTGTAAAACCCTGTACAGCCTTCCTCGTACTTATTTCTGAATAAATACATATAGGATCAGGCTGCAATTCCTACATCTGCTTTCTAAGAAGTAAATCTCATGGCATTTATTGGGATTTGGTAGTTACTTTAGAGAACATGTACTTAGGATTTCACTACAAACAGCCTTAGCTAAACCCATCTGCCTCTCCACAGCATGGAAGCAGGACTGATCTCCCTCAGAGGTTTGCTATAAGGTTTACAAGATTAAGAACAGCCCTGCCGGATCGAATCAAAACTAAGAGCAGCATCCAGTTCTCAGCAGCTATTTTTCCTGCAGCAGAGGGAATATTGCCTCTGACAAGTCACAACTGAGAACACTTTTCTTCCATTCAACTGTCTGATCCACTTTTAAAGCCATCAATATATTTCCTGGCAGCATAACCTGTACATCAGCCTCCTCCAGCCTTATGCCCTCCAGATGCTTTGCATTTCAACTCCCATCAGCCAAGGCTGCACATCCAACAGTCTGGGACACTGAAAGTTGTTGGTACAAAACATCTGGAGGGCACCAGCTTGAAGAGTGAAAAAAATTAATACTCACTGTATGTTCCTGACGCTGTGAATTTCTTAAAAAGCACCAAAGTGCTAATTCTTAAGGATGTAAGTCCACCATGTCTCCAATTTCTAACGGAGGTCTCCGAAGTCCAACATCCCGTTCCTGACTCTGGAGAGCTTCAGCCGTGAAGGCAGCAGCCCCCCGCCCTCCTGTGTTCATCCTCTGCACTCCAAAGCTCCTCTTAGCTATCACCTATTTTACTGAAGATGCGTCCAGCTGTATTATTGTGCATCCCACCCGATTCTGCAAATTCGCATTTATCTACACCAGCCTTCCGCAGTCAGCATATAGTCAGGAATGATTGGGATTGCGGTCCAAGATATCTGGAGGACGCCCGGTGGGGGAAGGCGAAACGCTAGAATGCACGCCCAGAGGCATCTCTCACCGCAAAAAACCAAGCCCGCTCCCACATAGCGCACTCTCCGCCTTCGGCGCCTCTAGTCCCGGGAACCTCTCGCTGGGATAGAATACCTTGAGCCGCTCATAGATCTCAACAGCCGCCATCTTCCCGCTCAAGCATACGCCCGCCCTTGCCCCACTCTTATTGGCGCGGACCCGTCAGCCTCGAAGCTGATAGGAGAGAAGCACTATCGCAATGTTCCCTGCGGTGGCGGGTCGATTGCGTTCGAACTCAGGAGGAGGTTCGGCGGCTGTCTTCCGAACTGCACTACGTCACCGCGCGCGCGCGGGGAGAGGGGAGATGTACCTTTCTTACCTGCTCTGCTGGTTCTCGAAAGCCAACCTGCTGGAGAGAAAGTTGGAGTTAGGTTCTGCGGCTTTTGTTGTAGCTTCCATATGGGAGAGCATTTCAAACACGCAGGCGCAAGAAATTCTTGGAAGATCTGGCGCCGACGGCGGGATTAGGTCTCATAACGCTTAAGTTTTAGGATCTCTCTCGAATAGGCAGTAAAGAACAAGTGACATATGGGATTCTAGTCTTAACCTATCTTGGGTAAGATTATACCACTTCCCTACGTGGTACACCTCCGGATCCAAGCCTTCCTGCTTACATTGGCAGTTCCTGTGTATCTTTTTAGTTCAACACATTTATCTTTGCATTGCCCAAAAATGAATTACCGTTGCGTCAACTGGCCTGAAATTGTTCACTTTGCAGTGCATTTCACGTAATACCCATTGGTCCTCAACAGGGGGCACTCCAAGATCACTATTGTTCAAGTTCAGTATCTTCTGATTCTTGCCTGCTCTGTTAAATGGCGGACTAAGAGGGATATGAGAAGAAGGGAACGGCAGAGAATGAGGCGGCTAGATGGAGTCACTGAAGCAGTCGGTGTGAGCTTGAGTGGACTCCGGGGGATAGTGGAGGACAGGAAGGCCTGGAGGAATGTTGTCCATGGGGTTGCGATGTGTCGGACGCTACTTCGCAACTAACAACAACAGCAAAGAGGAATGTGATAGGTAGAGCTACATCTGGCAGTTATTGTGCGCTCGTGAGTCTTTATTCAAGGTATTGTGTGGGGGCATTACACGATGTTCTCCTCCTCCTCCTCCTCCTTTCCCGTTTTGCAGCCACTTTTGCACTATCTTTTCTGAGAACATAATTGTTTTAGCTAGCTCACTAAAACAAGCCCATATAAATCCGCAATTGCGCTATATCTCAACGCCACCTGGTGGTTTGTAATGGAACGTATAGGAAGGGCAAGAAAGCCCAGAAAAAGCTAGGAGTAAAGGGTGCATGCTTTACTCCAGAACAGAAAATAGAAGAAGCCTCAAGGAGCAATTTTTAAATGCCTCTGCAAAGCCTAAAGCGGTGCGCTGGTAGTCCTCTCTACATGAAGCGTTTAACTTGCTGCTGTAATGAGAGGTCTCCCCTATTATCTGCAGGAAGAAGAGTGTGTTCTTGTGGAATTTTTCTTACAGTTTGTCTTTCTTGGCCTTTCTATTATGCAATCAGAAAGTAGCACTGTGGTGTAGCTGCAGTATAGTGGAATTGCAATGGACTTGAATTCTGGTTTGTTATGCATTTGCAATGTAATAGCTGAGGCCTTCTTTCCTGAGTCATTCTTTCCAACACTTTACATGGGCCGTTTTTTCTGTTTTCTTTGTTGGAGGAAGAACAGCCTTTTGCACAAGATTATGTTTCTGGAGGGTTTTCCCTGCTTTTTGCATTCCATTACACAACAAAAGCTGGTGTTCTGGTGTTGAGTAGAATTTAGACTAAAGACTACTGTGAGGAATAATGATATCAACAAAGAAAATACAGCATTATTCTCACTCTAAAAAGTTGCCGTCACAGAAGTTGCTCTGGGAGGATGACAGTATCATGTAAATGACCTGCAAACCTCTATTAGTGGATGGTCATTGAATGCCCAAGCAATGCCTTGTGCAGAGAAGTCTGCTGTGGGCAAGTGAGAGCCAGTGTGGTGTAGTGGTTAGGAGTGTGTGTCTGGGACTCAGGCATTCTGGGTTCTAGTCTCCCCTCAGCCATAGAAGCTCACTATGGTGGCTTTGGGCCAGTCACAGACTCTCAGCCCAGCCTACCTCAGGGTTGTTCCTGTGTGGTTGAGAGCAGGAGGAGATTGATGTAAGCATTTGAGCTCCTTAAAACAAGAAAAAGGTGGGAATATGAATCTAACAAATAAATACATTTTGAGAATGAAAGGAAGGGACCATCAGAAGTAGTGTTGTTCATCTATTTGAGAAAGGAGGAGGGCCAGCTTGATTCAGCCTTTGTACCCCATTCCTAAAAAGTTGTTGGACACAAGAAGTTCAGACCTTGGCGTGCTTAGCCCAATTAAGCATGACAAGGCTGAGAGACTGAAAAGGTATCTTTATTCTCGAGAATAAGTTTGATCACAACAAAATGGCAATTGACTCTGGGAGCTTGGCAGAGCCCCCTTTTATATATGGCCCCTGTATGACTTGATAGCAAGGACAGTTGCTTATTGGGTTGAAATTCCCACCAGGATTCCTGATTGGCACATTTGAATCCATGTGATCTCTGTACACACCTGAGAAACTGGCCTACCTTAAGGCTGAGGTGGAGGCTTTTGGGCAGGAGATTGCTCATTCTCCAGCCACTGGTGGTTCTTTGTTATTGTTTTCTGCTTAGGACATGACTAGCTGGCGTCTGTCTACCTGATGCCAGCCAGCCAGGTATGTCCTACAAAGTCATTGGTTCTATCATCCAAATTTGACAGGGGCTGCTTTTGCACAAAGCCTTGGGATGGGGTGGGCTGTACTTGCCTGTGCTTCCTCATCCACTGAGGAAACGTGATCTCAGGGAGATGGAAGTTCCATAGGGGCAGCTTCCCACATAACTTTGTTGCAGTAATGAAAATAGAATTAAAGTCTGCCCTTGCCAGATGTCATTCTGCAAAGATCTTAAAGGAAATGGATGTGCAGACATTTCTCTAAATTAATTTCATTCCTTGTAAGGGAAATAAAGGCAAGTTATAAATGCAGTATAATATATTAACAACACTAACTTCTGCAAAATAGCTGTTGGGGGTGTTCTCATTCCTTAGGCTTAGAGCAGCCCTTATTTCAAGTCATTTGTAGTCTGAATATAAGACTTGCATTGGCCAAAGTCTTGGCTTGCATATTGTAGTCACTGGAATTTCTACTCCACATTTCAGGGCAAACACTCTGAAGGAATCTTACAATTCATTTAAAACAATGTAAACTACACACAAATGCAGCAGAAATTCCACAATCAGGCAAGTATATGCCTAAGGCTGTTGTCTTGCCTTGTGAGTTTTTGGAACAGAAGCAAAATTCATCCATCACTTTGGACTCTATGCAGTGAACAACACATTACTGTCAATATTATATCCAAATATTAAAATACAGTGGCAGCACAGTCAATAGTAAAAATAAGCTTTCAACTGCACAACAGAAAATATTAATGGTGCAGGAAGGGGCAGCAGGTCCACTCTCCCTAATTTTTTTAGGTTCCATTCCTCCTTTGCATTGGGCTGTCAACCAGTCAGGGGAACAAAACAACCTGACCCATCCCCATGGCTTTAACAGAAGTTTTACCTGCAGAAATCACCAGGTGGCATTTATCACAGTGACCATCTAGTTCACACAATCAAAACCACCCATGGTTCCTATTAATTTGCTCACTTTCTTTTTTTTTCACTTAACAACCCAGGAACATCCTATTTCTAGGTTATTTTGTGGTGTGTGAACCTGTAAAGGTGGGTTGTTCCTTGGTTCAGGCATTATGAAATGAGCCAGGGTTGCTTCCACAGGCAGCATTTCACCCACTTGTACCAATTCTTGGGTTGTTTAATGCAGGAACTGAATGTTAAGTGCAGAATGGGTCATAACAGTGATTAGCAGGAGATAGTGCTTATCCCCATGCTGTGAAAATTCTTACCTGCTTATTTTTGCAGGCCAGGTTCCTGTCAAAAGCACAGGAGATACTGCTGGTAAACATTTGACAACCTTACACCTAAATGTATGGGGGCAGGTATAAGAAAATCCTTGCCTGTCCATCTACCAGTTCACCTAGGCTCTCTAGGCAACTTTGCTGACTAATTTGACCACCTTCATCTTGCATATTCCAGGCCAAGGTTGTGTTGCTGAGCAACCTGTAAAATGTAGGCCCAAGCCAGCCTGTGCTGGAGGAGAAGTGAAAATAGAATAGACAGAGCTGGCCTAGTTGGAAGGGTGGGAGAGTTTTCCCCAATTGCAGTAAAGAGGAAATGAAAAGCTGAATAGCTTGGGAATGACTCTCAGTCTAGACAGACGGCTTGGCAGGGTCACCTGTGACTCAAAAGTGTCTGGATAACTAAGGAATGGCAAAGAATACTAATGGGGAATGGGAAAGGGGTAGCAGTGCCACTCAGAATGAGTGAGACAGCAAGGATCCTGAAAGAAAAGGATCCCTACAGAAAATAAAACTTCCTGGCAGCCTTTACACAAACCTCTACCCTCAGTTCAGAGCAGCTGGGCTCAGCAACAAGTTAACTGTTTCTGTGAAAGACCTCCTTCACCTCACCTATGGTGAGGTGCACCAGACTGTCCAGCAATAAGAGTTCAGCTTGGAACAAGTGAGCTGAAGGTGGCCAGAGAAGTGGGCAAAATCACCTCTGTGGCAGAGGGGGAAGGGACTGAAAAACTCAGGCAAGGAATCCCAAGAAAAAGACATTTTGGTGCAGGGTTGCCCAGTGTTTACCAATCTCTGCTCCTGTGCCCTTGATATGAAAAGATAAGCAGGTTATACTACTCATTTTTAAAGTATTGCTATTTCCTACCTTGTATTGTTGAGGTTTGCACTAATAAGTTCTGTGTTTAAGCCTCACAAGGCCTGGCTCAAATTATGCATCTCTCCCCGTTTCCCTCATTAACTCCCCCTCCACAAAACAATGCATCTCTTGCTGGTAGCACCAAGCCCTATCTTAACTGCATGTTTCACAGTTTTCTACATTTTCTTACTTGGCTGCTATTTTTTGATCCACCATGCACAGTCATAACAAATGTCTTCCTTTGGGCATTTCAGAGCACACATAATAATGTACTGCGATTGTCTTGTTAAAGAACAGGATACTTTCCAGGGGTTTGGAACAACAGAGAAAAGTGAGCCCCAGTGGCCTTGGGATTAATGATATGCCTTGTGTCACAGCAGGCAAGAGTCAGGACAGAATGAGGGAAAGTTCTGCCTTAATATGGCTGCTAAAAGCCTGACACTGTAAGAGCAGCTTTAGACTTAAGATGGGATTCCTGATCTGATCAGGAATCCATGCTGCAACTCTTGTTCCCTGTGTATCCCTTGCAGATGCTATTGTTTGCCTATCCTGAAGGTTCTTTGTCTTTTGGTGTCATAACCACATTCAATCCTATTATTTTACCATCTTGTACCTCTAGTGATCACCCCCAGTGGACCTGCTCATTCTGGTTTTTGTCACAAGAGAGGGCTGGTTGACCAGTATTTCATTCCTTCTGCCTTCCGTTATCTATTTCCTATGAATTAACTGACCATCTTATTATCTTGACAGGAAGCATCCTTTCTTTTTAAAATCCCATTTTTAATCACATTTAACTGGAAGTTAAGATAAATTGTCACAACTGTTCTGTGCAGGAACAGATTTGATTTGCAGTGAACGTTTGCAGAGTTGTTTAGCAGGTTGTGCCACTAAGCACAAAGATATCATACTAGCTGGAGTGTCAGGATATCACATTTAGGAGGATTTGTGATTGTACTCCAAGGCCAAATTCATCCTAAGGCAACACAAACACACTACCATGGGCTAAAACTGCATGAGTTAGCTGTGTTGAGTTTTACTAAGTTTTCCAACAGCAGTAATACATTCTGGCAAAATTCCTCATGTCACTCCTACTGTGTTCAATTTTACAACAATTTTGCGGGACTTCGATTCAGTAAATATGCAGTACTTTCACACAGCCATTGTAGTCGCTGTGGAGCCATCTTTTCAAGGACATAGAAAGATCTGGACCTACAAGTAAAGCTGAGACACGTTTTCTTGCTGCTGTATTGCACCAGCTTAAATCCCCACACCCACCACCCCTTGATTTTTCCAGACATTTTGCAACAATAAATACTTCCTGGTTAAGCTGTGAATGTCCGTGATTCTTCTGCTGTTCCCACATCATTACAGGCTAAAAGCCATGGCTGTCGTGGGCTGAAGTAGAAGGGTGAATTGGCCCTATATGCATTCCTTTCAACAGAATCTAAACAGGCTCAATGTTACAGTTCTTAAGCGTTACGCATGTTGACTCAGAAATCTCAAAGGGTTCAAGGTGATATAAATCTATATAAGGCTGCTTAATATTTTTAATTTATTACTCATACCCTCCATACAGCATGTTATCAAATCCTTCAGGGAAGTTTACAAAACAGGCACTCAGTAACATTGAGAAAAGTACAAGAATATTAAAAGGACAGCAATCACAAAATTTCCCACCCAAAGTCACAGTGTATTCTGAAGTGGGTAGGAATTACATTGCATATGCTCTCTGAAATAAATCAGCCTTCGCTAATTTCCTGAGCACCATAACTGCGAGGCCCTTGCAACCTTCAAGTAAAATGCATTAGCTAGGACCCACCATCAAAAAGGCTCTGTGCCTTTGCCAGACAAATGGCCCTGCTGGCTGGGAATCATGAAAGTTGCAGTCTAACTCATTTGGAGGGCAACAGGTTGTGGAAGCCTGCTGTGAAGTCACTTGATGATTGGTATAATCCTCCCTAGAAAAAAGGACAGTATTATTACATGCGTTCAAATGTGTGGCAGGTCCAGTGGGTTCAGGACTGAAAACTGGCAGCTGTTCGGCAGTCATGCATTTGTGATGGGGAGGAACATGTGCAGGAAGAGGATGCTAGCTCTGGCCCAAGAAACTGTGTGTGGCCCATCGGGGCAAAAGGGTTGCGCACGTCTGCCCTATTGGCACCACAGACCACCTGATCCAAGTGGGTGGATGAGCTGCCCCTCCCTGCCATGACCATTAGCCAGGTGCTGGTGCACTCAGACCATCAAGGTAATAGCTCCCTCTGCATCTTCGCTTGGCTTCGGCTCCCCACAATATATGATTGTCCATCTCCAGCCCCATAGTGGGTACAGTGTGAAGCAAGTTATTGCAGTGAGATGGGCAGTCAGTGTTTCTACTTTTTCGCCTTCTGCTTTATCCCACCCTGCAGCTGCACATACGGGTTGCTAATCATACAGGAGTGGTACTATGTAGGTGTAGCGAAAGGCGGAAGGGTGGGTCTACATAAGGATCAGAACTGGGAGAACCCTCCAGAAAGGGTTTCTGCTTATGCTCCTAAGCACTGGAGGGCAGCCTTGATTTTGCACTTGCAGACAGACCAGTTTTTGCATGAGTTGGAACAGCCCTTAGTTGGATAAATGAAAGACATCAGAGCCTAGCTGCTCAGAGGGCCTCTGGCTATGGGAGAGCGTGCAAATGTGATAAATAAATGCATATAAAAATAAAATCACATAACCCTGAGAGGTAGCCATATTATACCTGCCCTGTCTGAGAGAAGCCAAGCTCACTGGCTCTTCTGCCAGGTCCCTCCTGTAGCCTCTTAAGAGAGGGGTTTGCCCACAACATTTCCCTGAGAACAAACATGCGGCATTCTCCCTCCCTTGAAATTCCCTTGGCTTCAAAAAGTTTGGGGTGCAAAGTTATGTGCTGATTAGGGAAGTGTGCCTTTAGGGGCTGAAGATGCTCCTGCAGGCTTCAACTGCATGAACATCTGTCAATTAATTATAATTTATTAATGTATTTTCAAAGCCAAGAAGAACAACCTAGAGGTTTAGCACCTCTGGGGCCTCTTTAATAAGCACGCCAGTTTTCAGATGACTAGATTTCACTGTCTTGGAGCTATGGGACAGACAGGCATCCTTTTATTATTATAGGTCTGTGCACATTACATGAGAGTTTTGGCTATAGGGTGACTCCTGAGTTAAAAAAGAAATAATGTTGTTTTGGAAGACAGCAAGATCAGGGGAGAGAGATCCACATCCATCCATCCTTCTCGTCACCTGTGCCCTGTGCTCTCTGCCTTTCTTTACTTTAGGCTGCGCTTGCTTGTTAGTGGCTTGGTCTGTTCCGTGCTTGATGGAGAAATTCCATTCTTCTTCTATAGCCTTAGTTCCCAAGCCAATATGGGAAGCGGGCCAAGCCAAGAAGTCCAGAATGACCCATGCTGAGCCTAACGTGGCTCCTTGTGCCTTGAATTTATTTGGATAAAACTACAAAACAACAAAAATATTAAAGCATCCTTTCTTTGTAATGGGAACCAGCCGCCTGAGCTGAAGGGAAGGAAAGTATGTCTCTATCAAATGAAAGGGGCCAGGTTGAATGAAAAACCGGAACAAGGAGGGAACTGGCACAGAAGCCTTCTGGAATAATAGTAGTAGTAGTAGTAGTAGTAGTAGTAGTAGTAGTAGTAGTAATAATAATAATAATAATAATAATAATAATAATAATAATAATAATAATACACTTGTGTGTATTACTCATCAGCTTCTCCATTTTCTTCCTTCCAGAGTTACATCACTACATCTAAGACTCCTCCAAGGACCAAGAGTTCTTGACTGGGTAGCCTTGTGCTCAGCCAGCAGGGTTGCACTTCAAAAAACACGCGCAGAAACCGGTACAGACGGTCATACCAGTGGACAGAGTCCTATTGAAAGTGGGTCCTGCAACAAAATGTTGCTGCATATTCCCTGCCTCCCCCTTTCTGAGAGAAGTACTGCTGTTTATGGCTTCAGCAAGCCTGGAATAGGAACTTTCTATTGCTATTCCTGTCTTCCAGGGTGGAAAGCCATTTTCAGGAGTGTGGAAGTAATACCGTACATTTTCCCCCAAACCTAATTATTTCATGGTTATATATTCTCCAACCTACAGTCCTCCAGATGTGTAGGACTACAACTTCCTCTTCATTAGTGATTCTGGGAATTGCAATTGAACACTGGCATTTGGGGAAGCTGGCTATAAGCAATCAAAGGCTTGAACTGACTGATCTCTTCCTATGTTCTCCATTTTCCTTTCTTCTTTCTTTTTCATTTGGTTGGTACACAAACATTCTTCATGGCAAACTCTCCCAAACCATGAACTTGACTATTCAGTTCACACACTCTGCCTGACCTCTGGCTTCTTGAGACCCACCCCTGCCCTCACGTAGCTGTCAACCTTCTGTAACTGCAGAGGGTTCCTTCCTGCAGGTTTGCACATTTCTCTTTTCAGTGTAATTTTATTTTGATTTGCAAACTTGAGTACTATATACCTGAGACTCCTTGACATACCCCAAGTATGCAGAGGCCACTGAAGCTTTTGTGGCTTTGTTTTGCTGCGAAAAAGAAAGGCACACAACCATGTGAGTCCACAACTGGGATTATATTATTGAATTGTCAAATTCTTAATAAACTTTTGGTTAGGAAGATACCTGGTTAACCGCTATGAATGGTAAATTTAATAATAAGGATTGGTACTAAAATCACATGCCTGGCTCAGAATAAATGAGCAACAATCCTATGTACCCTTATGAGTAAACCCCAGTAAACTTAATAGAACTTACTTCTTTATTAATATGCATTGAGATGGATAGGTAGTATAAGCTAACAAACTTAAATGTCTGCTGAAAGGCAATTCAAATTCTTCACTAAGAAAAGCTGGATTTTAAACTTAAATTTACACAAACTAAATTACAATATTTGTCTTACTATTTATAAATTATATATGTTTTTACTAATACACTGAATTGATTGTTTTCTGGTCATGGGTAGCAGGGGGATCTGTACAAGGTGCTGAAGCTCTGCCCTCAACCTCTGGGAATCTTAATAAGCCCTTCTCCTGAGACTTCAGTGGATATGGCTTCACACACACATAAGGACTAGAAGCTTGCTCTTCAGGAAAAAAAAGCTGAGATTCAAATGAACCTGAATTTTGTGCTTCCTTATCTGTTTTCCTGTGAAACTGCAGCATAAACTTTTAGTCCTGGTTATGACTTTTCAATCTTTGCCTTTTGGAGGCTGCACTAAATGACACACACCAGCACAAACTGCAGACATGTTTCCAAGTTCTCTCTTTAATTATAGGGGTAGGGGTGAACGATTGCTTCTTTAATAGGCATATATCCTTGATGCAATTTCATACTTTAATAGCTTATGCCTCTGATGCAGCTATAGCTGCAGAAGCAGTAAGTTCCATTATCATAACTCAAGCTCCATCCCAATCCTGGCAGTAAATCCAGGCTGTGTTGCTGATGTTAGGAGTCCTTTGGCCATTACATCAGGGGCCTCTTCCAAAGGTTGGCACCTTCACTCTCCCCAAACCCAAGCCTTGTCCTTCAGCAAATTCACTGGGGGGAGGATGAGAAAGGAAGAACAGCTCTTTCAGCGTGCTGATTCATCGGACTAAAATGTCTTAAGTTATCAAAAGTATTGGCAGCCGGGGCTGGAGAGAGATCATGAGAATGTTGTAGGCACAGTCGTATGCATATTTCCACAAACAGTCCTGCAGCAGTCAGCATTCTCCAGCCAGCCATGCCGAAATATGCACAGGATTGCACCCTCAAGGGATCCCTGACCAGGATTGCTCTTTGACCTTGATTGTAAGCTTTCCACTGTGGGTCATGATTATGGAACTGCTGTGTGTTTTAATGCTTTCCCATTAATAATAGTGGTGATGGTGAGGATTATATACTGCCCTATGTGAAAAACACAATCAGAAGGCATAGGTTTCCTGATTAAACTCACACTCCCAGCTGCTATTTCCACACAGGGCAAAATTCAGCCTGAGGGCCAGACTTGTGTTTCCCATTCAGGCATAAAATGGGAACAAGGGAAGACTCCTGCTTTGACATATAGTGTAGTGTGCAGAGGATGGAAGCTGAAGCTGCCCCCACCCACTGTGCTCCCTCCATGTTTCATTGCTCCAGCTCAGGCACTGTCTTCTCATCCCAGCTCTGATGCTAGAAGCAAGCCCAGAGTGACAGATCCCATGGGGGTATAGAAGGGGAGGATTTGGTCTTAGTGCTGTGCTCACAACTCCTCTCCTCCATTTCCATGGACTCAGAGGGAAGAGAAGGGCCCTGAAAGCAGTGTTGGCCCCAGGTTTTGGAGGGTCCTTGGGCAAGACGCCCTTCCCACTACTCTTGCTCCGCCTCCTCTTTCTGCTCACTGTCACAGCTTGCTTGCTGGACAGGCAGAGGGCAGGGGTCCATTGCCTGGGTCAGAGCAAGAGCAGGTGAGCAACAAGGTGCAGGGATTCAGTGGAGCAAGGCCAGGAGGGTTCCGGTCAGGCAGAGAACCCAGGAGCAAGGAGGCTGCCTCCTCAGCACCACTGCTGTCTGGACCAGAGAGACAGGCAGGTGAACAAGCTGGTGGAGAGGATGAAGCAGAGGAGCAACAGCAAGGCTGTTGTGTGAGTGCCTGACCGTGCCAACTCTTGTTTTTGGCCTTGTCCGTGAGACATACGATTCTTGTAAGGTTTCCAGTACAGGCTTTGGAGAAGTGCCTGGATCCTATTTGGCCCTGATGCTAATAAACAGCAAATGGACAAAACTGCAAAGGCTGGGCCAGGCATCCATGGTGAGAGTAGAGGTGATCTAGCCTGGATGTAGAACTGCTTCTGTGTGACCCTAGTGAAACTCACTTTTTTGAACCTGAAAAAGCTACTCACCCCAGCCTTGGATAGAGCTTTTTCTGGACAGTGCCAGTTCAGGTTGCAAGTACAAGGTTGCATGTTTGAATGCTACAGTCCTAAACCTCAGAAGGTTTTTCCCTTTCTGGTCTCCACCCAGATCAACCCTGTATGGAAATGCGTGCACCCTCACTTCATCCCAATAGTGGCAAAATAAAAAGGGCATGTTTCTTAAGGGAAGGGCAAAGAAATCATGTTAAGGTGAAAGAGAAGGAAGCTCAATGCCAAATGCAAAGAAAACAAGCACAATGTTTAGCTTGTCTGGAGGATCTGTCCCTGTGGAGAATGTGCCAAAGCCACAGTGATGCACACAATCATTGTGTCTGACTTGAAGGCAGTGGGAAATGGCCTGGGAGCCAGTAATGAGAATCTGGAAACACTGACAATGTATGTCCCCACCCCATTCCTTCACAGCAAACCTGTCCCACACTCTGCTGTCCATTTGAGAGAGATTTAACAGAGGGCATTGAGTGCAACTCCCAGAATTGTGCATGGCTGAACACAATTTAAGGGTCGCACTGGAGTGAGTGGTTCTCAGACTGGGAGAACGGAGCAGAGGGGACACAGAATCCTTGGAGGGGGTGGGGCACTGTGTTTCAGGGTCAAAGCAAGTAGAACCTGCAGTAACTAGAAGTCAAAGCCAGAGCCTTCCCAGCACTGCTGAGCAGTGCAGCCACCGGCCTCCCCCACCTTTCAGATGCTTTGGACTTCCAACAACCTCAGTCAATATGGCCATTGGGCAGGAATCCTGGGAGTTGTAGTCCAAACATTTGAAGGGCCCCAGATTGGAGAAGTCTGCACTCTATGACCAGGGAACCTGCTGGGAATGTATAGGAGCTTTGGTCCAGAGCAGTTCCTCCTCCTCACAGCACCACTTACCCCTGGTGAACTTGCTTTAGGAGGGAATCTAAGATGGGCTTGATTTATTGACCTTCTTCTAACATGTCAGGGCAATATGTTTGTTTTTGCTCCAATTCTGTCTTCACAACAACCCTGGGAGGTAAGCAAGCTTGAGCTGAGAGGAAATGGATGGTTATCCTTTCAGTGTTGTGACTGTGTGGAAACTTGTGTCTCTGTCCAGTGCTCTAACCACTATACCACAGAATGACCTGACGTGCACAATCACCATGGATTAATTCACCCACAGGCACTGTTGTGTTGTGCCATTAGAAAAACCTCAGATAACCATGGGTTATGTGCAGGCTGTCTAACCCTCAAAGAACTCCTACTACTTGGGTTCACACAACATACAAACGACAGCAAGCCAGGCACCTGGCAGAACACAAGAGCCACATGGCCATGTTAAGCCACAGTGGGCCAGCATGTCATGTGAACCAGGTTAGAATCACAGAATAAGGCAACTGGTCCTACTAGAGGCGGGCATTCCTAGCACTATCAGTTTGAAGGCGCCATGCAACTATTCTGTCTTTTCTTCCTTAATGGGTTTTCCTTAATGAAGCCAGGCTGGACGTGTTGCCCCAGAACTTTTCACCTGTCAGGGAAGTGACCCAGATGCTGCTGCTTCACTGTAGCTCCCCCAAAGTGAGCCTCAGGGCAGCTTTGCCAAACTGTAGCAACAACCTCTGCAGCCTTCCCCATAAGTACAACTCATAGGACACAGACTGCAGAAGCACCCTAGGCCAAACTGTGCATTCAGTTGCTGCCACAGTAGTGGCCACCCAGCCCTGAGCACAAAAATGAGCACCTAAGTTCCTCTTGGGGAACACCTCTTCCTCATGGCATCACTTCTTCTGTGTTCCCTGCCCCTCAACCTCTTTCTCTTTTTAGCATCTTTCCAGGCAGATGCACAGATGGGAAGGTACAGAGGAGAAAATGAGATGATGTCTGACAGCGAGCAGTCCGCACAGCAAACCCAAATGCACAACACCAACTGGAAACTGCTCACCAGTGTCTGGGTGACAGCCTGGCAGCATTCAGCGTGGAGACAGTGAGGGCAATGCAGATGGCTCCAGAAGCCTGGGCAGGAAT